AGCATAACAGTTCAGTCATACATATTACATACATATATTTGTTTTCATATTCTTTTTCATTATAGGTTACTACAAGATACTGAATATAGTTCCCTGTGCTATATAGTATAAACTTATTGTTTATTTTATATATAGTAGTTAGTATCTGTAAATCTCAAATCCAAATTTACCCCTTCCCACCCCAGTATCCATAAGTTTGTTTTCTATGTCTGTGAGTCTGTTTCTGTTTTGTAAATGAGTTCACTTGTCTTTTTCTTAGATTCCACACATAAATGATACCATATGGTAATTTTCTTTCTCTTTCTGGCTTATTTCACTTAGAATTGCAATATCCAGGTCCATCCATGTTGCTGCAAATGGCATTATTTTATTTGGACTTTCATTCAATCCTTATGAGGAAGAAGATTCTATTATTATTCCCATTTTACAGATGAGAGGTGAGGTTCCATGGTTAAGAACCTTGCCTAAGGTCCTATAGCTAATAAGAATGCACTAAAACAACAGTGGCTGGGTCGGATTTATTGGGTATTTTTCTCTTTTGTGTTTATTTGTATTTTCTAATTTGTCTAAAAGAAACAAATATAGTGTGTGAAGTAGGAAGACACAATAAAGTTATTAAAATAAAGTGAAAACACTAAAAACAGTTTTAAACCAAGATGGTGATTATTTCTGAGGAGGTGGGATGGGAAGGTACATGCAGGCTTCAATCATATAGCTGCTGTACACATATATGTTGTATAGGCAGTATGTACATGCTGTTTTACTTCTTAAGCACACAAGCCCCTTTATACTATTCTCTATTACACTTTTCGTATTAATTCAACAAATACTTACTGAGTATCTACTATGTGTCAGATACTGTGCTAGGGAAAGGCAGTGAATAAAACAATAAAATCCCTGACTTCATGGAGCTTAAACAGTTTATATTCTAGTAGGGATGGAAACAGATGAAATACATGGTATGTTAGATGGTAAAAAATACTATAAAAAAAAAAAAGCAGTGACAGAGGATTGGGAGGTGACAGGTTACAAGTAGAGACCTAATGCAGGTGGGATCTGAAATATGTATGCCTGAATAGTTGCACTAGGACTAAATATCAATGTTATCTATTTATCAGTGTGACTGTACTTTGTATAAAAACTTTATGGTTGAAATGTTCCATAATTTTGAAAAAGGACAGCAAAACAGATCAGATTCAGGGTTACAGTTGATTAAAATCTACCAGCAACCAAGAAAAGTCTGCAATCTCATTGGTCACTGACCCAAGAAGACACACTTGAGCCTCAGGCTTGATGGAGAAAAACAGGCCACACGTGAGAGGCTGGGAGAGTGCCTATTCAGGTTGCTGAAGTTCTGCCTGGGGAATGTTGGTTACTTATTCTTTGTTCTTTTTATATTACTAAAGCATCCAAGCGTATAAACGATGAAATTCTGCCCTTAAAGTTCCAATCCATTTCTGAGCAGAGGAAAACCTAATCTGATTGTTTAGATCTACAAGGGGGAAATAACTGTTAGGGACATGGATTAAAGTCCTTAGCAGAGCTCTAAGGAATTGAGTCTACACAGAAATTTGCTCTGAGAAGCAGCTTCCAGGAAACAGGTTTAGAACACACTGCCACAGTGGTTTTCCCATCTGACTAGGGTAGTCAGTCTAGTCAGTTACTAATACTGAAACACTGTTTATCTTCCAGGAGCAGAGAAATAGAAGACTGTCACACTGTAAGTGATGAGGTTAAAAGATCAGTATTCTCTAAAAGCAAACCTGAAGAGTACTGATTAAATACTTCCCGGTGGGAGGACTCCATATCCCAGACATGGTTCCCTTAATTATTTCTCTACAGTTACACTGCCTAGATAGTATCTTTAGGAAACAGAAATGTGCTTCCTGTGTATGCAGCCTAGGAGGAGATGGAAGACAGAGTGTGGGTGGAGAGGGAGTATTTTACCTGCAGTTTATCCTCATGGTTTGTATGAGTGTTAGACAGATGCCTGAATTCCTGCGTCAGGCGGAAACAGTGCTTTACGTGTTCTGGAGATACAAAGTCTTCTGCTACTTTTATGCAACTGTATAGATTGTGCACCTGGGAGAGGAAAAGCAGAGGCAAACATCAGTCATTAGATATTCAATGACACACGGAAACTTCCATCATAAAAAAATTTTACAAATACTTCTAATATTTCACTTGTATAAAAACAAACGCAGAAAAACTGTAAGTATAAATTTATAAATGAAAATGTTAGTACTGGCACAGAAATGGATCTAGAAGAATACACACCAAACTGTTAACAGTAGGCTCCTTCTGGGGAAGGCAGGATGAAGGGACTGAAAAGGGATATGGCATAGGTAGCTGAGCTGAGACTTTCACCCTTTCTTTAATAGTCTCCCTTATTTATTTAAACATTTTTAAGTGATCATTTAAAATTACATGGGAGAAAATTAAAAAGCAAAAACTAAGTTGCAGTTTAAGAGCAGTCTAATTCAGCCATTTATAGCTATTGCCAAATTAGCAAGAAATCAGAAATAAGGAAGCCAATGGAATTGTGGAGCCCCTTCCGTAAGGTGGAACCCACCTGGTGTGGGGCTCCAGCAGGTATAAAGACGGCATCTCCCAGGAACTGAACAATGGCCCAGCCTTGCACACCATATTCCTCATAGAGCCGCTTACGCAGGGTCTGGTCCAGGTACCAACTTTGGTCATGAATTGGATCATGATCAGGGGGATTCTCTTGGCCTTGTTCTTCTCCAACCTGAAGTCATGACCAAAACCCAAAGATGTAAAAATCAATAAATACATAAAAATTATTAGTAGCATAAATCCAACTTGCTGTAGTAATGTCACTGGTGGGCCAAAGCTTTTACTTCATTCTATTCAGTATCCTCTAAAGTGCAGATTCAGCCCTTTGGGTCATTTTGACAAAGGGCACAGGTCTTCAGTGCCATGGGACTCCACAGGAGAAACCCCTGGGCAGGCTGTCTCAGCATCCCTAGACCCTTAATCTGTGAGCTGGGAGTTCACCCAGGAACATACCTTTCGGAGCAGCTCCCGGATCTTCTCTGCATCCTTGGCTGCATAGATGTGCCACAAAGCACCAGGTTTCTCCTTTCCATCGTGAATCCTCTGCTTTGTCACCTCGTCAGCATCTCCCTCATCAATTGTCTTGAGCACCTCTGAAAAAAGCAAAATGACACTTTCCAATGTAATCAGCCATTTCAGTACCTCTGAGTGAAGCAAAATGTCCAATTCAAACAAGTTTAGTCCCCACTATTCTCCAATGCTCTGGAATAATATAATGTAGAACCAAAGAATCAAAACTCACATTGCCCTAAACTTCCTATACATAAGAAGAGTGATTCTAATCTTCCTTACTTAACAGAGACTCAGCATTTTTTGGAGGTATAGTTTTCCTTTAAAACATATCTCCTGCTCAAACTGTGTAGCCATACCTTATGTTCAAACTGCAGGTTATGTCCTGCTGTAAGTAGACTAACTGTACACTTTCTCAAGACCTCTTCAAACTCTAGGATCCTATGGATTTAAGGCCATGAAGAGTAAAGCTTCTCTGGCAAGTTAAGAGGGTTGGTTTCTAATCTTTATCTGTCGTAACCCATTAAAGGACAGTACAAGAGAAGGATCTTCAAGTGTGTAGCATCAAAAGCAAATGAGTGGCAGGAAATATACCAAAGTAATGATACTGATAATCCCTGAACCCTGAGATTTTGAGTTATTTATCTTTAAAAATTTTGTTTTTTAAAACTTTCATAATTAACACACATTAATTTTACACTGAGACAGCAGACTGCAAATGCAGCAAAACATCACTTTAATGCTTCATTTTTCTGTGCAAGTGACCTGGCTTTTTCACCTGTCACCCCACAGTTGAACTGGCTGATGGAACAAGTAGGCTGGTTTGCCCTTTCTTTTTTATTCCCCTTTGTGA